ACATCCGCGGTGGACATTATGGGGGTATGGTCAGCCCATCGGCGGTGAGCTTGGCGGATCATCGGGATTACACCCGGCCTATCGGAGCGGTGAGTGTTTGGTTTCTCTCCTTTGCGGTTCCGGCGCTCATTCATATGCGTCGGTTATCGTTAGCTCGTGAACAATGGTGGCGGCCACGCTGGCTCATTGCTCGCCGTTGATTTTGGTTGCCGTAAGTTCTTCATCTCGTCATCGTGTCTGTTGCAAACTCACCTTTGTAGGAGCGCAATCTCCATGCCCTCCTTTATACTTCCGTCAGTGTTGGCGACTTTGTCAAAGTGAGTACTTCGTTATTGCATCCATGACTGAGCTGACATTCCTCGAAGCTGTCAGTGTTACCCGCGGCGGCAATCCATGAACTCCGAGCGCTCGACGCCATGAGCATCTCGAGGATGAAACTCCAGTTCTCAGCGCAATTCAGCGGCGGAACCACTGCCGCTGAAGTCATCGATACCCATCCGTGTCTCCGTCGATTGAAATGCCCTCGAAGTGATCCACCAACCACTCCGCAGTATCTTCGGCCCTCAACGCCGTCAGGCTCACAATCGCCAATCTCCAGCCCTTTCGACACCGTCAGCGACGTCTCACCGTTCGAAGTCATGTCGCCACATTACGCTCGTCCAATTATGCGAGTCCGTACAGCTGCGCAATGCGTCTTCCGTACGGTGAGGGTATGAGAGTCCACGCAAGCATCGTTGGAGCAACTCGGGCAGAACAAACGCGTGAAATAATTAATACTGTAGACGGTGTAAATAACCAGCGAAAAGTCGAAGAAACCGAACTTACTCGAGGTAGCATTAGAACTACCATGTTCTTATTCGAAACATCATACCTTGCATATTGGCACATCACGGAGTTCACTTTAACAAGCTCTAACGTGTCCTCCTGTGCGGTCGACCAAAGCTTGGCCGGAAACTCTGGCCATCGGCTGAACGGATCGACAGTGCCGGATGTGATCGGCTTGTACCTTCGAACAGCGAAAGCAAGGTGTTCTCCAGATGCGAAGATATGCTCGATGGATCCTGCAACTGCGGGCGTCTTTGGATTGCCATCAGGATGAAACATGACCTGGCTGTTGCCGCCATGAGTCCTAGAGCGAGCATATACTGTGCCGTGTGCTCGGAGACGTGCTCGCTGTATGACCTTGCTGTTGTTTGGAACAAGGGGCTGGAGATCGTCCGGAACCCGTGTTGGTGATTGTGGCTTGCGCTCTTCGTCGACGGCAAGATGCTCCTCGAAGATTCCCGGATGTTCATCAGACAGCGGAGCATAATGTTTATGGAACAGGTCACGACATTGGAGAATAGCTGGCGGACAAGACTGGCGTCGCAGCCAGCGTCGGAAATTGCCGGCTGCAACGAAGGCACAATGTACCGTACCCTCCAGAAAACCTTGATATGGCCAAGTAAGCAGCAGATCACGCAGACGTCAGCTGGACTCACCTAAGCGATGATTGTGAGGAAGTCGCTGAAGTCGACCTATGAGCCGTTCGAATGGAAAGCACCACCACGAATGTACTGGTCCAAAAAGTAGAAGGAAGTCGTAAATATGAAAAGCCATGTGGTGGTTAGATCGGCAGACAATATCCGGATAGAGCGCGGTCAAGTTTCCAACGTAATTTGCGATGTAATCACGGTAAGCGATCGCCATCGCATTACTGGTGACACGTCGACATGCCAAAGAGAGGGCGCAGACAAGCGACATCGTATGGTCCAAACACGATGCATTCGGATGAGGCTCGTCGGAGGACCCTTGACCCCACAGCATAATGAGGGTGATCGGAAGATATATGCGATAGAGTGTACGCCATTCGTCCGCCTTCACGGTCCCAGCAGAAGCACTACCGAAGTTGGACGGAACACTCTCCACCCAAGACGGTCGGACAGTGTGTTGTATGGCATGCCGAAGTTTCGACAGTACTTCAGGTGAAGAAGTGTGGGCAGGAAGAGGATCGGAGGATTTCCAAGGATGTCGGAGCCGCTGATAAACATTTAATCAATATGCGTGGTCAAGAAACTAGCTGGACGTACCCAAGTCACTAGGGCCTTGGCTGTATCGAGCTTTCGGTTCCGCTTGGTGGTGAGTACAACGTTGAGGCCCAAATCATCCTTCGCAACGTAAGATAAGGTCTTCAAAGTCTGTTTCGCGAGCTTCTCCTGAAGGGCCTCTACGGTCAAGGTACCAGAGCTCTGACCCTTCACCACCGCCACCTCGTCGTTGTCGTCCTCGTCGTCCTCCTCGTTGTCCTCCTCGTTGTCCTCCTTGTCGTCCTCATCTTTGTCATCGGTCGCATCTTCGATTGGGTTTGAGAGTTCCGTCAGCAGGATGCGATGTATGCGCTTCACATTCTTAACATTCCGGGGCGTCCATCGTGATGGACCCAAGTCATCCTCATCCGTAACTTCAGGAACGTCAAAGGTAAAGTTGAAAGCGGGACGGGCTTTAGTCTTAGCGTATGCTTGACGCTCGGTCAAACCGAGCACGTTGATGTAGTGAAAACTAGCGATACCCTCTAGAAGGCAATGCATCCCATTGACGACCAATTGCTGAGTGGGGTCCCAGTACGGCAGGCGCCACAGATCAGACCAACGTACGCCGGTCTCCTTGAAGATCAGTTTCCGCTCTTCCGGAGACGAGGCGTCTCTCCAACGCTCCGCTGCTGCGCACATCTCGTCGACATCTCTTCGATTCCACTGCTCGTAATCCACCCGTCCCAGTTTGGTGCAGCGCCACGTCTTATCCTTGGGATCTATCGGATGCCAGCAATCGCATACACTGCAAAATATTCTGGAGGTGGACGCAGCCAGTGCCGCGGTCTTTCGAGCCGCGGGTAGATCGCAGACAGCGTTGGCGATGGCTGTCCGTATGAGGCGGCCGTTTTCGTGAAGCGACGTACGGAGCAGATAGAAACCATCGTGCCATCCGACAAGCATGTCATCAACGACAAGCCGGATATATTGATTCAATGCGGTGAGAGTTGGCTCCTTTGGTCCCGGGACGAGGCCGACAATATACAGGTTCTCGGGATGGTATCGTACTTCAATGGGAAGATTGAGACATGCCAGAGAAATGATGCCGGTAGAGTTATGGTTACCATGAAGATTGGATCCTTCGGCGTTAAAGAAATCGATGGAAAGGGTGAAGAGAAGGCGCCCCTCGCTCCCCAGAGGACGCACACAGAAGGTTTTCTTATCGGGACCCTTGAAGTTCTTCAGAAACCGGGCGTCGAAAGGTCCGTGAATGGCGCCAGCCGCTGAGGAAACATGGCTATTCGCCGATGCACACGCGTCGTCCATGGCTTTTTCCAGAACCGGGTTGGAAAACAATCCTGCAAGATAATCGCGAATAGAGTGGTGCAGAAACGTCCTCCGCGGCGTTCCGCCTGGGTTGAGTAGTGACACTCCGCAGTCAGTGCCAGGGAATGGCTGGTTAGTGCAGCGCTTAGGGTATTCGCCAGATGCATTAGGTGGATGGTTGAAATGACATTCAGGACAGGTCGCGTGCAGGACAAACTGCCCATCGAGATTGAAGTAGGAGAGAGCAGTGTGTAGAGACTTCGGCAGTTCACGACCGGCGCGGGTTGCAAGAGGGTTCTCATGACTGGCTGTAATGAGGGAGATAACAAGAGACAGGACACCCATCATGAAGTCGCCATCACGCCTGCTGGCACCCATCACGACGTGGCACACCACCACCAACACCAAAAGGACCTGCGTAAGGACGCCCAATTGATCGACAGGACGATCGAAGTGATGATCTGGAGGTCGAGAGTCAGGCCGTGAAGAAAGGAAGTAAATCACTACCCACCGGTGTTATAGCCTGTGTGTGCAGGGCCCAAGTCGATTTCATCTCTCCAAGTTAGAAGATCGCGCTGTAGATCGGCAAGTTCACTTTCCAATTCTCGTCTGCGATCAACGACGGCCGGAACGATTCGATTAGCTTTGGTGAGGCCAGTCTTGATGCGCCCAAGGCGGTCGTTCAACTCCAGATAAGAGTGAATAGACTTGCTGGGTTCCAGAGATAACATTCGCTTTCGGAAGTCGCTCAACTCTTCGTTGAGCTTGTCCAAAATATGGAGATGCCGGCAAGTGTGATTATCGCTTCTCCGAGTCAAGCGCGGTGCACCTCTTGATGAAGGTGGGTTAGACCTTGGTGACGCGGCGGGGGAAGGTGCAGGTGACGGAACTGGAGGAGAAAGGTCCGATAGACTCATGGGCGCCTCAGGGCAGGCGAGAGGCGATAAGGAGGCTTGGCTCGGGTTACTGATAGGTGAGAACGATGACCGAAGGACCTCGTTGATCGTCTCTGAAACATCAGAGGTGGACGGGAACGGATTCGTGGTTGGAAGAGAAGCTTGGTGCTCGAGTCGAGACGTCCATAAGGGATTAGACTGTGTGTTGGGATCGACGCCGTCGTCCGCGATGGTTAGGGCCAAAACATCCCTGGTGATATCCTCGGCGGTGACGTTCTCAGTGGAAGGGACATCGGTGGATGGAGGGGGCGCAGTTTCGGGTTCATGAAGAGCGCGAAGACGATCAGCACGCCGAAGCAAAGTACTGGAACGAGCAGGCATCTCAACAAGGCCGCGAATGACAGCACAGTTATCAAAGCCGACACTTCTACAACGCAGCTTGGCGCGAGCCCGCAATGCTGAGAATAAGGTTTCATCGAACAGATCATAACCTGAAGTTGGGATAACTTACATCAACAGTCCGAGGAGCGCAACTAATAGAATGGATGTTGCCACCCACACGACCGCCCGGAACGTGGGGTCACGGTAGTTGCGGTCTTCCTCCCAGTTGTACGCGCGAGTGATGAGACCTACAGATAGTGACGCAAATAGGGACGTTAGCGAGGCGAGAACAACGTCAAGGATGAGCGACTCGTCTGAGCACTCACCTCGCAGCCGAAGGGGATGGCACACTGATGCCGATGAACTGGACGTCACCACGTCTAGAGGATGCCAATCGACGATGAGACCAAGACGTCGTCACGTCTATAAGGATGGTAAGCGCAGCCTAGATCGCCAGTCCTCAAGAAACGGTCCGCAGGTAAGGCGTCGTCGGGGAGTGGTGGTTGAAGTTGAGAACGTCGTCCATCGCCAGAGTGGTTATATAGGTCAGCGAACACAAAAGGAATGGACACAAAAGGAGCGAATACAAAGGGACGATACAAGAGGGGCAAATACAAGAGGAACAATACAAGTACAAGGAAACGGGGAAGAACCGAAGGTCGAACCAGGCGGGTGATGAGGCCACCCTAAAGTTCTCACGCTATCACCGCACGTTCACCGTTTTCGTGCCTCACTGCGTTCCTCACTGCTCAGCGAAGGTGTCGACCTTCGCCCTCGTCTATATTCCTGCTACTCCATCTCCGGCAAAGGTGATGACCTTTGCGGCTACATTCCTGCGAGGGTGGTGATCCCTCGTACTCTGGTACGACTACTCTATCTATTCTATTCGTACGCTGTTTCTAGATAAACTCTGCAATGCCGATATCGACATCCTTTATAGCCAGATGCGCGTTGTATTGCTGCGTTCGCGTTGCAAGCCAATCTGCATCGTATAACTCTCTGGGCAGAGAGTGCGGCGGCTTCCGGATTGACCTCAACGTGCCTCCATGCGCTCCTAACGCGATATCCCGACCAGTTCGTATCCGAGGCGATGGACGGACTCCTCGACGAGTGAAAGCCCCGTCCCTGGCTACATCAATCTTCTGCATCATACGATCCAGGTCACGACGCCATTCTTGCGCATGAGCTCGGTATGTGATGATGCCAGCCTCGTCGTTAGTTTCGTCTGAACTCATCCCTTCCTCGCCCAGAAGTTCCAAAACTTCCTGTGCGGTCGCCCAAAACTTCTGGTCGATACTCGTCTGCGCTTCTTGCACCATGATCTGGCAAACTCTTTCCCGGCGTAACAGCAACTGCAAGACAAGGTAAGTGCTTCGTCACAGTGACCGAATCAGAAGCTAACCCGGTGTCGTCGCGCTGCCATCCTGCTAGACCTATCAGACGTAGCCTCCTTGTGGACGATGCGCGCAGTGATCTCGTCATGCTGCTCCAGGCGCGCTGATCCGGTCCCAAGATCCGTGACGACTCTCGGCCGTGCTTCCACCCAAAACCCTCGAATGCGCGTCCATTGATCCCAGCAGAGGTCTTCCCAATACGCGAAGGTTGCGCGTGGTATGCGCACAAATTTTTTGTTGATGTACGTCACAAATCCCTCCTCGTCCTGCTGCTGCAACATCTTTTGAGCCAGCATGCTGATGATGTACCGATTCCAAAGGTTGTCGGACGGTGAGATCAAGGTGAATCGCGGATGTTTGGGATCTGGCCGCACATCGCCGCCAGCATTGAAAGCGGCGACGATGTCTTCGTCTGCCTCCTCACCCTTGACGGCGATTTCCTTTTGGTCAACGATTCCCAATACAGCATATAGCAAGTCGCGACCTTTGTCCTACTCAACGTCAACTGCTGCTCGCAACGATGTTTTGTCGCAAACTACCTACCAACTGCGCAGCCCGAAAGTTCGATTTCGCGAACTTCTCCTTCTCTTGCGTCAGCGCAATGCGGGCCTTTTTCTCAATGGCGGTCTTCCTTCCCTTTCCTCCAATCTTGAATATCAGCGGCGCAGTAAGACGAACCCCGTCGGTATCCGGTAGTATCGCTTGCGAAGAAACTGGTGGTGGTGAACCTGACGGCTGAGCGCTGGAGGAAGAACCGGCAGGCGCATCACCAGATTGAGAAACCATTGGCGCCTGTATAGAAGATGCACCTGTTGACGGGATATTGGAGGAGGAACTGGCAAGCATATTGCCAGGTGGAGAGACTGGTGGCATCTGGATAGAAGATGGGCCTGTCGACGGGACATTGGAGGAAGAAGCGGCGTGCCCACTGCCCTGGCCGGCCAAACTTGGTTCCTGGTCCGAGCGAATCAGATGCACACGCACGGGCAGTCTGATAACCGTCCTCACCTTCACTACCTCCTTGCCCTTCCCTTTCACATCTTTCTTGGCCTTGCCCTTCGCTGTAGGACGTGCGCGTGACGGTGATGGCGCGCGATGGCGACTCGTGTTGGGCCAGCTGTTTTCCCCACTTGAACCTTCGTCGTCTGCATCGTCGACGTCTCCGATGTCTTCGGGGCCGGTCGTTTCCCCGTCAGAGTCCAAGGCGCCTGGTATCCGCATGGTTGGCTTGGGCAACGCCGGTAGGCCGTCAGGCAGTGGAATCACCGGTTGGGTCCTCGACGAGGATTCTCCACTGGCCGAAACAGGCTGTTGCTTTTGAATTTGCTGGCGGCAAGTAGTCAGCAAAGCATTGGAGACGATCACGTATGTATGTACAGCAAACTGAGTTTCCATTTTTTTCTCTAACGCCGTCATTGCAGCGTATACCTGGTCGTGGCTTGCTTTGAGCTTTTGTTTCTCGGCGGTCAACTCCTTTGAAACATCCATTAGTATCATCAATCGTCAAAACGATGGCATCTTACCGCAACTTTCTCGTCGAAACACTTATTCTGGGCCTTAACCTATGTCAGCGATACCCGACAGCAATCACACTCGACGACTTACCTCCATCTTCTCCCCGAACTTTTGTCGCTCAGCGCTCGCCTCAGCGCGCTGGTTCTCCAACTCTTCCTCGAGGTTCTTGATCATTGTATCCCGCTGTTCGATCTCCGCTTCCAGCTTCTCCATGTTTTCCTGCTGTCGGGACGCCTGTGTTTCGAGCTCTTGCACGCGCATGGTACATGCGTCCAGGTCCTTCTTAAGCGCCTCCTTCGCCGCTTGCTCCTCTTTGAGGGACTTCTCCAGATCGCGCTGAATAGCCTCGCTGGTAGTGACGCGAGAAGCAAGATCCTCCCTGGTTTTCTCCTTATCCGCCTGCTCCTCCTTGAGCCACCGCTCCATGTCACGCTGAGCTGATTCGCTGTCTTTGACGCGATCGGCGAGGCCCTGATTGATCTCCTCCTTGGCCTTCTTCTCTGCCCTCTCCTCTTCCAGCAACTTCTCCAGATCACGCCGAACAGCCTCGCCTTTAGCGACGCAAGAAGCGAGATCCTGCTGGGCCTTCTCCTTCTCCTGCCTCTCCTCTTCGAGCGACAGCTCTAGGTCGTGTTGAACGGCATCGCTGTTTCTAGCGCGAACGGTGAAGTCTCGCTGGAGCATTTCTCTCGCCTCCCTCTCCTTCTGGAGCGATTGTTCCAGGGTCTGCCGCATAGCTTCGATGTTAGCAACACGATTGGTGAGGTCCAGCCGGAGCGCCTCCTTTGACGCTCTTTCCTCTTCGAGCGATCGCTGTAGGTCCCGCTGAATGTCTTCGACGCTGGCGACATTACTCTCGAGCAATCTCTTCATCGTCCTCTCCTCTCCAAGCGCCCTCTGCAGGACACGCTGTGTGACCTCGCTGTTGACGTGGACGGCATGGAGCTCGCCTCGCAGCCACGCATTGCGGTGCTTCATTGTCTTGGACAACACGAGTGCCCTCTCGCTCTTCTCCTCAAGCCGAGTAAACTGCCGAAGTGGGCTGGCGTACGATGAAGGGGGGACATATGATGCCGAAGGGACTGGAGGCAGCGCCAGCCGCCTCATCTTACCACGAGACGGACAGGCAACTAGGAGTTCCTCGATAGCCCTGTCGTCGTCCGCGTCCACATCTGTCGCGTCGGCCCGGCGCATTACAGCAGATCTCTCCGGGAGCGGACACGTGAAGTCGAAGGTCGGGGCAATGGCGGGGTTTATTCCGGCTGATCTCTCCATGGCCGGACGCGTGAAGTCAAACGTCGTTCTCTCCCCCAGCACCATCAGCTGGCCTGCGAGTGGTTCGACGAATGGAGTGTTCATGAACTCGGCAGATCGTTCACGGGTCCGTTTCTTAGTTGTCGTCGATCTGCCAGCAGATGTTTCGACGATAACCTGCTCGCTCTATGTGATGATTTAGCTACAGAGAACTGCGCAGTGCTGTGGGTTACTTGCCCATGTTTCACGGTAGCGCGCAGCTTGACTCGCGGCGGGGAGCTCTGGATTCATAGTGGATGGGTTGGGTGATGGGCGAAGGTTGATAGGTACTTCGGTGAAGGGCACTTCGGTTCGATGGGCACTTAGATTCGATACCGGACGCTTACGGTGAGCATGCACATATTTCAGCGTTGGACGTTGCGCTCATGAAGGCACATTATTGTCAGCTTGCACTTTCACTGCGATCCTTCATTTTCGTTGCCATGCTACGATACACGCTTCGCAATAAGCGCCTTACATCGAGCTCTCCTATTGTGCTGCCATAGCGTTCACCGTGCTGTGCTTGTTTTTGTTTCTTTTGTTTGGGCGTTCACGGCTGCAGTAAGCGTGGGAAGGTATGTCATCACAATAAATGTTCGGATTAACAGCTTACCATACATTCCAAGGCTGCACGCTCGAAGTTATGGTATTCCTATTGCCGGTGACCGCTGTGGTAGTGGAGACTACTGTCTTACCGGCGGTCGCGGTAGCGACGCTATAGTATTGGAGATCTTAAAAAACCTAGTTCCTACGGTGGCGACCGTCGCATGTACTCCGCGGTTGTACATTGGAGATTGCAACATCTCGTGAGTGGTGAATTCCATATCTTCGTTTTGTCGCTCATGCGTTTACAGTGTCACGTCATTTTGTTGTTTTCGAGTCTTTTTTGTTCCGTCGCCTAGAAGAACCGACGGATGTCCACTGTTTTCCATCGTGTCGACCACCTTCACCGTACGAAAACTGTTCATCTTCACTCCACTCAGCCTACATTACCTCTGGAGACGCTGTGTGTTCCTAATATTCATCCGTCCTCCAAATGCCTGCTACTCGACCAACCCGAACTCGGAAATCTCGAGCGACCACTGGCGGCCCAGGCACCACTCCTCGTCGACGTCGCCCTGCTCCTACCGGCTCAGTCATTTCGATTTCTGATAGTGAACCAAAGCACACCTCTAATGCCACGCGTCGCATCCATGCCATCAGTGCCTCCTCGGACGACGAGTACTATTCCCTTTCTTCCCAGGTATCCCTAGGACTCAGTGATGTCTGTATCGTCTGCTCCTTCATTATTTCTTAGCTGACCAATAGTATTAAGGATGTGAAATCACGAAAAGCTCCGAGCTCTTGTCAAGCCACAGGCTCTTGTCGAGCTACCAGTTCTCGAGCTACTGATTCCCGTCGAACTACCGCCTCGTGTCAAGCTACGGGCCCACACCCAAACTCGGGCCTGCGACGACGCTCGTCTAGAATCAACAAAGATATCAGCGCGGTATGTCCTCAACTTCGGTTACCTTTACATCTACTAACGATTGTCGTAGGAACGGGGCGTGCAAGTTTCCTGGCTCGAGGATATGAAAGCCCAGGTAGCAGCAGCCGTAGAAGCGGCTGCGAAAGCTCACGAGGAAGCGGTGACAGCACACGAGGAAGCGGCAACAGCAAAGGAGGAAGCTGCGAAGGTCAGCGAGGAGCTGATGAAGGCGAAGCAGCAGGCCGCCAAGGCGCAGGAAGAAAGACTGACGGCTCAGCAAGATGCTGCGAGCGCTCAACAGCTTGCCCTTACGCTTGAGCACATTAAGGACGATCTGATTTGTGAGGTTTGTTTGTCGCCCATGAGAACGCCATGCAGGTACGCTCCGCCAACTTCTTGATCTCGTTTGCTATCTCAATCTTTTTCAGCATCAGCTGCGGACACACATTCTGTCGGAGCTGCCTTGCCCGCTGGTTGGACGCGACTCTTACCAAGTTCAAGAAGTCACATCGCGATTACAATCCTCGCGAGGCCCCGATGCTCCGTTCGACTGATGACATTGCGCTCCCGGAGAGTCTCCAGCATATGGCAGACGAGATCGAGCTCGAGATGTCTCTATCTCCTCCACTCCGGATTGTCTTATCCACCATGCTCCACATCAGGAGGCTGCCGCCATATGCCTGTCCCGTTTGTCGCAAGCCGGTAAGTGTGCTGCGCTTTCATGGAGATGTCGCTCATTTTATTTCGGTAGGTCATCAGGAAACCCGTTCCTAATTATGTTCTGGGCAAGGTTATTGAATGTATGCCTCCTCGCGAGGAGCCGTACGAGTCTGACGATTTCGACGACTTCGATATATTTGACGATTATTTCCCGGAGCTCGTACAACAACAACGAGGGCGTTTCCGATTCCCGTGATACCTGTACTTTCCATTACTATTGCTCATAGTTACTGTACTTGCACGTAGTCTGATAATCGACCAGTGTGGATTGTATATTGTCCGTACATGAAATGTGTGACTAATATGATATAATATGCCTGGTTTGATGTGACGTGACAATACCCAATTGTCTTTCGACCTTCACGATGTCGACCTCGATCCGGCACCCTCATTTGTTCCCACTTTCCATCTTCAATTGTGTTGGTTTCCTAGACTGCTAATTGTCTCAGCCGGGGATAAGATCGAGGTGCGTTCACCATTCCATCATCATCTAGTCATGTCTGTCCCCCCTCGAGACTCTGCTGCCCGTCTGCCTGCGTTCTATGCGCCTTTTTCCTCGCCGGCTCCTCAGCTAATGCTGAGTATACAGAGGAACCTCGCGTTGTTTATTACAACCGATGACGTCTCATACAGCGTTCCAATCTCACTGGCTCATCGGCCTCAGGCTCATGCAGCCCGGCTTGCTGCCCGCCCGTACCCTCCCACTCGTCCTTCCGGTGACCGTGTGGCGACATGGTCGGCGACTGCGGCTGCGGATGGGAGAGCATCAACCCCTGTCGCTCTGAGAGCGTCAACCCCTGTCACTCGGAAGGCATCTACTCCTATCGCTCGAAGAGCTCCAACACCTGGACCGTCGACTGGCTCGGCTTTAACACCTCCCCCAGAGGATCCTAACTCGAATGTCGAGTCTGAGGACGACCAACTCGACCATATGTCTTCGTCGCCATCGCGAGACACTACTCCGGCAAATTCCCGTCGCGTCCAATTCAATGCACAGCCTATTCCGAGACCAGAAGGGAGCGCCGGCCGTCCCCACAGCGGCGGCTACACCCTCCGCACCAAGATGATGATCGGAAGGAAATCTTACAGTTCGATGCAGGTGAGTTTTTAAGTAGTCTTCTGACATGTTGTTCTGAGATGGCCCACAACGCAACGTCAACAAGATCATCTCGCAATGGCTCCACCACTCGTGCACCGTCACGAAGCAACCGCCTAAGCAGCTTGAACGCGCAAAGGAGCTGGTAAGTAGTGATGTTGATTTCCGTTGTCGCTTTCCTTACCGTCTCCCAGATTCTGCAGAAGTACCCCGATTGGCGCACTAAATATGAGGATGCATGGCCCGTCGACGACCTCATCGCGAGGAGGCTCGCATACACCACTCGCGAGATCAAGAAGGGTGTTAGTAAGCCGCAGGACGCGTCGTACAACGACAATGTCAAGGTAGTACCCCATCACTCTCAGCGACCAGACAGATGAACTGACTGTTTTGCAGTCACTTCAGCAGCCCCAGTAGCCTCGGAGTGACTGTAGATTTCAGGCTGCTGCACTAAGATTTGTTGGGTGTATTGTATCCTCTCCTCGGTGTCATGTTTCGCAACTCGGATATCATCAATTACGATATACATGAATGCACCGACAGTAAATACACAGCACGGTACGGTGGGCGACGTGCCGCCATGAACACCATAGGCTAGCGACGAATGCGCAGCGGCAGCAGGAGCAGAAACACAATAGATTAACAATAAGGACCATAGAAACAGTAAGTACTAGTACGGTGATAAAAACGGCGCCTGCGGAAACACAATAAGTGCCATGCAATGATAATGACAGTTTGCAACAATCCGTACGATGAAAATAACAATGGTCCGTTCTACGACAAAAACTGTCGCTAGGATGCATGGCGACCACCGTACGCATAACGAATAGCGGAAGATACAATTACAGGTAGCATACATAAGAGGCAGCGAAAGTGAATATGTCCAGTATTATCCCCAATAGCTTTCGCCATGTCTGCCAAGACAGCTCTCGCCTTGTCAGCCACCAAAGTCTGGTCTCGGGGCCGCTACCGCTGCGTTGGACGCATCTCGACGTCGAGAAAGCCAACATATGGGCTTGCGTTTTCTCCCGATGCCACCCTGCTGGCTAGCGGAGGTAAGTTCATACTATCGTCCCTTAAGCGACTTTGCTCAGATCCATATTCAATATAGGCAAAGGCGGTATTCGCATCCATTGCGTACGTAACATGTGCGATATCGAGACGCTACCTTCCAAGATTTCGGAGAATATCTACGGCGCTGTCACGGAGCTCAAATGGGTACGAACTGAAGGCCAGTCCAGTGCGCTAATCATTGGTACGAAGGGTGGATTTGTATTTGTTTGGGGAGAGGAGAATGTGAGATTGCATGAACTGAACGAACATTTTGTTCACTAACCTTGGCTAAAGAAAATCTTCAAGGAGAGGCACAGCTGGCGACTCCCTCAGGGCGGCGAAATACTTTCTCTGGCAGTGAACATCGACCCTCGGCGGGTCCGGCTCGCCGTCGGTACAATAGATCGTATTCTTGCATGTTACGACATCACGGCGGAGAACCTCGGTAATGCATGGTCTGCGTCGTTGGACGAGGTTGAGCCTCGTAGGATCGAGTTCGCGAGCAACGGGCGGGACGTTACTATCCTCGGTACCTTCTCTGGCCAAATGTAAGATTCATCATGACTCCTGCGATGATGCGCTGACCTGCTTAATAGTCATACATATCATAAACGGGAGCAAAACCTTACCAATGGTCCGAGCCTATCTCAGTTGATGTGAGTCGGTCTCCACACTCCGTGCGATCAACATCTGAGCATGATAAAAGCGGGCATGGCGCTATGGACAAAGAAGGGAATGTTGTCATCGACAACACGAACAACTTTAGTTTGCACGACCCCGGGACAGGTTCTTTGGTGGCAATGTACAGCGCTGGGTCCAGAACAACGGCGATGCCCAATCAAGTTGCATTCGGTGAAGATGGGGCCATTGTGGTGGCTGGGAGTGACACTGGGAATGCCTATGTCTTCCAGAGGACTGGCGGCGGGCCGGAGCAAATATTACTCAACTCACAAGACGGAGCTACACAAATTGTTACTGTGAGTGTATGACGCCAAATTTCTGGCTCCCAGCAACATACCATGAATAACCTCAATCCATCAGACCGGTGATAGCGCCACGATGCACTACATTGCATGCGCCACCTCCTCGGTGACAGGCACAAGTAGTATATCCATCTGGAAGTGTAAACGCGCAACCCTGGTCGGCGATCCAGAGGCTGGCGACAGGGACGAGACTAAAGAAAAGTTCTGGCATCGGTTGCTATGTTGGATTACCAAGCTCGTTATGGTCATTGTCGCGGTGCTTGGCCTTTTGGTTGGGGGGCCGTTGCTCTGGTTTTTTATAAAGGTAAGTCAGGCATACATATCACGACAATTCGGTTGACCTACGTTGTTAGACCGAGCTCCCCATAATCTGGATACAGTGGTCGAAGACACTCTGGCCTTATATTGTAATGTACGGAAGACGCATTGCGCAGCTGTACGGACTCGCATAATTGGACGAGCGTAATGTGGCGACATGACTTCGAACGGTGAGACGTCGCTGACGGTGTCGAAAGGGCTGGAGATTGGCGATTGTGAGCCTGACGGCGTTGAGGGCCGAAGATACTGCGGAGTGGTTGGTGGATCACTTCGAGGGCATTTCAATCGACGGAGACACGGATGGGTATCGATGACTTCAGCGGCAGTGGTTCCGCCGCTGAATTGCGCTGAGAACTGGAGTTTCATCCTCGAGATGCTCATGGCGTCGAGCGCTCGGAGTTCATGGATTGCCGCCGCGGGTAACACTGACAGCTTCGAGGAATGTCAGCTCAGTCATGGATGCAATAACGAAGTACTCACTTTGACAAAGTCGCCAACACTGACGGAAGTATAAAGGAGGGCATGGAGATTGCGCTCCTACAAAGGTGAGTTTGCAACAGACACGATGACGAGATGAAGAACTTACGGCAACCAAAATCAACGGCGGAGCAATGAGCCAG